AGTCACCCGCAGACTGCACGCTCCAGCATTCGAGCGGAGCCCAGGCGCCACCCAGTGTTACACTTGGGTAACTGAACCGAGCTCTTTCAACCAGATTCTCACCTCAATCCTAATTATTTTCCCTTAAAAAGACTCAACTCTGCAGTGAGAAATAGTTCCATGATCCTAATGGCAGTGAGACTGTTTTCTCTCATGGCCGAAGGGATGCTACCTTGCAGGTTCCTGCCAGGTTTCAGGATACAGGCCAGCAATGCTGATGCTTCCTAGGTCCCCAAACCTACTCCGGCACACTTTCACATGCACCTCTCCACTGAGCCTTGGTGTAACCCCATCTTAGTCAGCTAGGGCCACCATGACAAAATACCACCGACAGGGTGGCTTAAACAACGGAAATTTATATCTCACAGTTCTGGAGGCTGGAAGTCCAAGATCAAGGCTCCAGCCAGTTCAATTTCTGGTGAGGGCTCTCTTCTTGGTTTGCAGGTGGCTGCCTTCTCACTGGGTCCCCACACGGTGGAGAGCGAGCTCTTGTGTCTCTTCCTATTCTTATAAGGGCACCAGTGCTATTGGATTAGGGCCTCATCCTTATCACCTCATTTAACCTTAATTATCTCCTAAAAACCCTATCTCCAAATACAATTGCATTGGGAGAGAAGGCTTTAACATATGAAGTTTGGGGGTGGGACACGATTCAGCTCGTAGCACCCACCTTGACATCTTGGAATAACTCCATCTTCACCTAATGGCACCTTGACATAACTATCCCTTGCCATGTCTAAACCTTTGCGTAAACGCACCTTGACATTGCTACACCTTGTTGTAATTATACCTAATTTAACTGCACCTTGACGTAACCTAACCTTGGCATAACCCCTTGGCAAGGTGGCATAACCCACCTTGACGTAACTACACCTTGACATAACTACACCGTGACATAATGGTGTAGGGATTCCCATACATTCCAATTTATGAACAAAAATTTAAGTCTTACAGCAGTGACATAACTTTCCAGAGCTGGAAAGTCTGCTTTTCCAGAAAGAAGCAGAAACAGCCTCCTCCACACTCTCCTTCTTACCCTCCCTGATGCCCAAATTCGAGGCTGGGTCAGGAGACTTGGTGGAATTGGCCCTGAGAGAGCTGTTCCCTGTGTGGGGGCCCAGGCACAGTACTGTGTTAGCAAAGGAGAAGGCAGAAACGGGTGTCACAGAAGTGTTAGAGGCTAAAACCACGTTTAATTTATTAACCCAGAGCTAACGGGAAAGTGGGACAATAGCATGCTTCAGGGACAGTTAACATTCCTGGGATGATGCTTTGCATGTTTCTATAAACTGGGCCATATTTCTTTGTTTCCTGTGTTTTGAAAACCTCTCTTTATGGCTAAGGGCTGACACAAGGAAGAAAACGTGGAGAAACACTGGGGTTGGCATTTAAGAGGCTTTGATCTAAGTCTTGGTTGCACCACCGTGTTCTGGATGTGACATTGCACCATTTCCTCATCTGTGTGGTGAAGATGCGATGCCTCTGAGTGAGCACAGGAGGCAGTATCAGGCAGTATCTTGGACCAGTGGAACAGGGCTGGGGAGAGCCAGGCAGGAGCGAGGCAGAGCAGAGAGGACTGGGAAGCAAGGTGGAGCTCTGTGGGGGCAGGGAGGGGACAGGGGGGCTAGAGATGCCCCACCTGGCTCAGATCCCCCAAGAGGTGTGGCAGGAGTGGGGTGGAATGAGGGTGGATCCGGGTCCCTGGGACTCAGAAAGGGAGGTGGAACCAGTGAGTTGGATGAGGGTGAAGGGCAGAGCCATGTGGCCCTCCAGGGATGAAGACCCTAGATGTGGGCACAGAAACCAATGTGTTTCCTGGATGCCCCTGGCAGGTAAATTAGGCATCTGGGTGGGGCCTTGTCTCACCCCAGGTATTTTGCCACTAACGCCAACATTCTGTCTTTGATAGAACACACATGAACAAGAGATAGAGGGCTTTACAATCCTGCTCCACACCTGCACACAGAGATTAGCCCCAACACAACGCAGCCCTGTCCACTGCATCAGTGAAAGTTCCTGGTGGTGAAGCCTCTGCACAGGGATGGTCCAGCATCACCATGGAAACGCCACACCCTCCCCCAGCCCAGGAAGTGGTGGGAGGTGACGGGCAGGTGCTGTGTCAGGAATCAGGCTAGGATGGAGGAGCGTGCAGTACTGGAGATGACTGATGGGGGGACAGAGAGGCTCGGGGCAAGGGGACCTGTCACCTGCCGGTGTCCCAGGGAGGATCGGATCCCTCTGGGTCTAGCAGTACAACTTGGGATCTGAGCTCCGCAGATTTGGGGGAGGAACTGGCAATGCTCCCTCAGAGTCCCTCCCCCTCGAACCAGAGCTTGCTGGGGACTCTCTGAGTCCAGCAGCTAGTTTTTACTGAGATGTGCTTCCCTTCCAATTCTTAACAGGAGGGTCAGTGATGGATTTGGGGGCGGGAGGAGGAGTGGCCAGTCCTGCTGTGGCCAACCCCAGAGGTGAGGATGTTTGTTTTCCAAATTTTAACATTTTATCATTTTTTCTGTCTCTTTTAAAGATCACAGCCCAGTTTTTGGCCAAAGCAGAGCTTCTGGCTGTCCTGGACCAAGCTGCAAAGCAAACCTGCTACCGGCTTGCTCAGTGGGGTGTTTGGGTGTGGCTCGCAGGACCGAGTGTTCCAATGCACTGCGTCCCCAGTGCCCAGCACACATGAGGTCCTCAGAGATGGTCAGGGGCTGGCTTGGTCTGAGTTCCCCTAGAAGCCAACTCTGAGACAGGACTTGGGTGCAGGATCCAGGGAAGCCCAGTGGGCAGGAGGCGGGTACACAGCAGGAGAAGGAGAAAACCCAATAAAACCTGTGCCAAGGTGTACTCCTGGGGGGCCTCTCAGGAGCCTCAGGTGTTCCTCCAGAAGATGGGAGTTTGGGGAGACCCCCAGAGCAAGAGGAGAGCCTCCCCTCAAGGCAGGACGATAGCAGCACTGCAACAGCTGCTGAGGGATGCGGGGCCCAGGGGCTCAAAGCCGAGTCCACAGCGTCTGCACAGGGCACAGGGGCTGGCGTTTCTTGGGACCTGGGCAGGCCTTGCAGTGTGGGGGAGAGAAGTGCGGCAGGAGTGAGGCAGAGAGCCTTGCGGGGTCAGCTCTGCTGCCACTGAGGCTCTTCACCTCTCCCAGACCCAGCTGGTGCATCCCAACTTGGCCCATGCTGCTTAAGTTCGGTTTCTGGGACTTGCACACAAACCGACCTTACTGAAGTAGAAATGACACCACACCCCGAGGTCCTGGAGACAAACTTGACCTCCCTTCCCTGTTGCCCTAGAAACAAGGCTCAGTGAGCTGGGCTTCCGCCTGCGGGACCATGGGTTGTCAGACGTTCCAAGGGTGCTTTGGGTGAAACTGTTGACAGGAGCCAGGAAGTGGTGGCCGGTTCCGGCTGCTAACAAGACAAAGGCAACCAACTCAAGATGTTTCACCATACAAACGACTTTTATTTGCATGTGGCTACTTGGTAAATATTAAACAGTGATGACCCCAAACAGCTGCCAACAACAAAATGAAAGGTACATGGTGGCTTCTCAAGACATCGAGGCAATTAGAAAGTGAGCGACAAACAATAGTGAAGCCAGTTCTTTTCTGTGATTTCTGGAGTCCCCCTTCCCCAGGAGTGGAAAACAGTTGCTACAAAACTATAAGCTCCAGAATCAGTTAAAATAAGTCCCTTTCATGTCATAATTTATTTCATTTCAAATGACAGCAGCACCAGCAGTTACAGGGCTGTGCCCTGCGCGCCTGGGTCAGCAGAGGGCACAGCTCTCTTTCGAAAAGCATTTGCTCTGAAACCAAGCACCTCGATTTGACATTTCTGTGTGCACAGCCAGCCTTTTCTTTATGAATGGGCCAAAAGTACAAATGCCTTTCGAGGTCCTTGTGAGCCCAGCTGAGGGCCCTGGCCCCACCCAGCGGCACCACTGGTCCCCAAGGCCTTGAGCCGAGTGGCACTTAAGTGGATGCAAGAGGAGTGAGTGCGGAGAGGAGCACAGTCCTGGAGACAGGGGTCCTTTCGCTGCCCCCTGAGGCCATGCGGCAGCTTTTTCCTCCCATGTGGTTGTGGCAGGAGAATCTGTGGAAGTAACATCCCAGCCTCCTTCACCTGAGGGTCTTTCCTGAGGGATGACAAGGCTTCTAGTCCTTGGGCGGTGCGGTCCCCAAGCCCTGGCAGGGCGCACTGCGGCCGCACAGTTCTCTGAGACACCTGACTCGTGGAGAAGCTTCTTCCCTCCCCCACCTCCATCCTCACCCCAGGTCTTACTGTATAATGATTTTGTAGAGTCAATCACTTATTTTCTCCACAAGTCTACCCTCAAAGCTGGTTTTATGCAGATTTTCCTTGGACCTCAATGCTTGGGAGAAAAAGGGAGGAGAAAGAGGAGGGAGGTTGGCAGGATGGCTTGTCCCTGTCCACTTCCCCAGGGGATGGTGGACCTCTGCTCCGCAGCAGAGGCAGAACCGAGGAACAGGAACAAGTCTGCGCATCTGCAATGGACCTGAAGGCCTCGACGGCACCTTTTCCAGTTTAAGAAAATCAGACTGAATGTTCCCCTGAAGCTACTACAGGGAACCCCACCGCCGAGGCAAAATCCCCAAACAGACGGGCAACAGTGGAGCTGGGACTCTCAACGGCGAGGGCTTCGACGTGGGTTTTCTAGAAGAGCTAGCAGGGTCAGACAATTCCTAGTGACAGCTGCTTTCCTGGGGAAAAGAAAATAACAGCTTTTTCATGTTTATCATAGTGAATTAAAATGTCCAAACAAATATGCCAAAGTGTGGTATCATGGCTCAGACTCAGCCTGCAAAGGTGGTCTGTTAGTCCCACAGATGTCTCCGTGGATCTTCCGTTCGTCATTCAGAAGGCAAATGTTGAAAGCTGCTTCGAGGGGCCCACAATCCAGGCTTCCGAAAGGCGCGTCCCCCGTGGCGTGGCCCGGCCACATCAGTGGTAGTAGATGCTGAAGGCGTGGAGGATGTACAGCAGCGTGGTGAGGAAGGCGAAGAACTGGAAGGAGGTGGAGAGTGACCGTGATGGACAGCTGGCTCCTGCCCACCCCGGGGCCTTCAGCCCTGCAGCCCAGGAGGCCACATGTTCTGACCCTGCCTTTGTCCCCTGCCTGGCCTGGGGGCAGCAACCACTGGCCAATGACACTGCTCTCCTGGAAGCTCTCCTTCCCAGGGCGTCCCTGCGGCATCCTCCTGTCCTCCCTGACCACGCAGTCTCTGTCTTGTCTGCCGAAGTGTCCTCCACCACCTGGCCATGCAGGGGCTCGCCTCCACGCCTGCCCTGGGCCCGAGCCGACCTCCTGCCCATGGCCTGCTCTCTTCTGCCCCGCTCCAGGCCCCTCTGTGCTTCGCCGGCTCCTGCTGTTCCACTCATCAGCTTCCTGCGAATGCTCAGACACCCCTCAAGCTCTCAAACTCCTGACATTTCCCTATAACCCTCACAAGCTCCGTGAACCCCCAGATCCTCATCTCGTCCAGCTACCTGAGCCAGACACCTGCGACCCCTCTGACTCCCTTCCACCCACCTGCTGTATCCAAAGCCCCCCAAAGCCTGCTGTTTCACTGCCTGCCCAGCTCTTGGGACACCCCCCCTCTCCTTCATCTTGGTCATCAGCATCCCCGCCAGCACTTCTATGGCCTCACTTGTCCACTCCTGTCTGCCCTGCCGCCCCTAATCTGCCCAGTGTGGTGTCCTGTGTTGAAACCTAGGGTGGCTCTCCTCTTTGCTCAGGATAGAGGCTGTCACCCTTAACTTGTCTTCCAGGCCCGCCAACTGCTCCAGCTCACTCTGCGCTACTGCCCACTCACACTGTGATCATTCATTCATTCATTCATTCCACAGGTATCCCTTAAGCACCTGCTATACTCCAAAAACAACTCTGGCTGTAACAGTGGACAGAATACTCAAAAATCCCTGCTCACTTACATTTTAGTGGTAAGAGGCAGAAAATAAGCAAGATACACAAGCAGAGCATGCGTAGGTTAGGGGGGGATAAGCACCAGGGGAAAATGAGGCAGGAACAGGGAACGGGGAATGTGGTGTGGCTGGGTACCAGGGAAGGCCCCAGGTGACAGCGTGTCTGTGTGCCGGGGCAGCAAGGAGGCCAGTGTGGCTGGGCGGCTGACCAGGGGCCAGCAGCAGCAGGGGACCATGCTGGGGACGGAATGGGCCATGGAGGGCCTGTGGGCTGTTTCTGGAGTTGTGAGTTTAGGAAGCTAAACTAGCTTGATGAGGAGGGAAGGGAGGCAGACAGGCTGGAAGGCGGCTGAAATATCTTGTGGCCACTGCAGAGGGTTACAGTGCTTGCCCGGAACTCCATTCTTACTCCAGGACAGCACCCCACATGCAGCCCTTCCTCCTGCCATGGTCACGTGAGCCCTGCAGGAGCCGCCAGGTTGACACAGGACTTTCTGGCCGCAGTGACTGGTCTGGGGGTGGGCATGGACTCCGCCTTCGTGTTAGAGGAAGTTTTTAAGGTAGGATGAAGGAGGGAGGTCAGGCCACTGCAGAGGAGAATCCGTGCTCCCTGCCACTCGAGGGCACACCCCACGAAGGGAGGAGGGCTGGTGTGCGGGGAGGTCCCCTCCATTCTGCTGGACCACCTGGCCTTGGGCTCTGTCAGCCACCACACCACCCTGGGGGCTTCTGTCATTGACATAAAAGGACACTGAAACAGTTCAGCCACAGGCACTGAGAGCCATCACAGGATTTTCAGTAGGAGAGAGTGACGTGTTCCAGTTTATGTTTTGGAAAAAAAATTGTTCTGCAGACAGTGCAGCGGGTGTACAAGGGAGCAAGGCTGACTGAGGTGGGAGGAGAAGGCGGGAGAGGACGCTGACGTGGGCGCACATGTTTACACAGACACAAACGCCCTTCCCCAGCACCCACGGCTCCTTCAGTGTGAGCACGCAGGGTCGTCCCTACCGCACACACCAGGCAGAATTAAGCCTCATGCAATAAATGCCCTCCAGTGACGGTGGCTGTCGGGGTCCCAGCCCACTCACCGAGGCCGCCGTGTTGATGTAGTAGTGGCTCAGGTTCTGGGACTCAGAAACGATCGTGGCATTCGCCTGCAAGGCGGCGGCGCTCAGGTACAGGATGGCAGTGGTCCCGTGGTACAGGCTGTCCTGGAAATGCAGAGCAGAGGCTGTGCACGGCCACCGTCACCCAGGTGAGCACCTTCCTCTGTGGCTACACAGCTGGGAAGAGTGAGAACAACAGACAGGCCCAGCCCCCTAACTCCTGCTGTTTTCTGCATGTTTTTAATGAAATATCGATGTGGCAAACCATGGCAGATTCATAAATAGCAATAATAATGCCAGTACCAGCTAACACGGAGTGCTTGTTCTGCGGCATGTTGTGTCGGCGCCCTTTTCTCATTTGTCCCATTTAATCCTGTCTACTGTGAGGTGGGCACTGTTCATTACTAGCCTCGTTGCGAGGCAGTGGAAGCTCAGGGTTAAGGCCAACGGGTAAATGGCTCAGCCAGGACTTCAACCCAGCCCCATTAACTCCACGCTATGCTTCCAGCCGTTGGCATCATGAAGACCTACTCTGTGCCAGGCACTGTCCTAACAACACACACGTTATCTCACTTCCTTTTCACAGCTAATTTCTTGGGGCAGCTTCTACAGTCATTCCCAGTCTGCGAGTTAGGACACGAGACTTGGCCAGCACTGGTAGAGTTGGTAGAGTCAGGCCAACCTGACTCCAGACTTGCATTTTTGAGCCTCTCAGGGAAACTGTGTCACTTCCCGTGTTTTCTGTTATCCGTGATCAGCAGGGGTCTGAAATAGTAAATGGAAAATCCCAGAAATAAACTATTCATAAGTTTTAAATCGCACACATTCTCAGTGGAGTGATGAAATATCTCACTGTCCTGCTCTGTCCTGCCTGGGACGTGACTCCTCCCTTTGTCCAGGAGATTGGTGCTGCACACACTCCCCACCCATTAGTCACTTAGTAGCCCTCTCGGTTATCAGATCAACCATAGCGGGATGGAAGTGCTTGGGTTTCACTCATGTATTGATGGGCTCTAATAAAATGTGGCATATGTATACCATGGCGTTCTACTCAGCCACAAGA